TATATATGTCTTATTTATCTAGCAGTTGACCCCACACTGGCCCTGCGCAGCCCTCCTCGTGGCCTCGGATGTGAAGGGGTCTATGCGCACCCACAACAGGGAGAAGATGGAGGCTAGCAGGATGGACCACACGATCACAATCGTGGGTGTGCGGTTCTGCCTCCCGAGCAGTCCCTTGAGGAAGGGGTACAGGTGGACAATCACCCATATCGCAAAGAAGAGCTTCCCGAAGAGCGGGCCCCATGACTGGTAACCGCTGTTGATGGCGTACGAGACCCCAGCCACAATCCCCACCATGTTGAGGATGAGCACTGTGGTCGGGGGAATCAAGAGTGACGTCCACTTGAAGACATACAGCTCAGCAAAATCCCCATCGTCATCCGATGCTTTGGATGTCACGGTGAAGTTGGTGTCGATCCCGGCCAACACTTTCAGAAGGCCCTGGAAAACAGCGAAAAGGTGGGCCGAGGTGCCACCGATGACCCAGAACTGCTCGTTACGCCACCAGTCCTCCACACTAACCCCACTCCACCGCATCTCGAGGATGCCCGTCGCAAATATGGACACAAACAGCAGGATGAACCACATGCTCGCGTAGTTGCTAATCTGCCCGCCGATTAAAAATGTGTCAAAGTTTTTCTAATTCACCTTTTTATAATTAACCTAACTGTGTAAGAAATGTTTGAATTTGGTTACCTCGGGAATGATGAATTTATTGGTGAGAAGACAGATAGCAGGGAGAATGCAATAGGCGAGCAAGGGAATGGAGGTGAGTGGGTAAACAATGGTGTTTATATACGCGAGTCTCTCGAGGAGCTGAAGTTTGCCTTGGTAGCCGTACCATATGGGACAATGCCTGCTCAGTAGAATTTCAATGGAACCCAGGGCCCACCTAAGCACCTGGTTCAAACGATCCGAAAGATTGATAGGAGCCGACCCCTTGAATGCCGGGCGAGGAGGCATGCAGTAGATCGAGATCCATCCTCGTGCATGCATCTTGAACCCCGTTAAAATATCTTCCGTCACAGAACCGTAGATCCAACCAATCTTAAACATATAAAAAAAAAAAAAAAAAAAAAAAAAAAAAAAAAAAAAAAAAAAAAAAAAAAAAAGGCAAAATAAGATCTCTGTGAATTCAAGAAAAGGTATAATCATCTGAAGCTTGAGAAACATTAAAAAGATTAAACTAAGAACAATATGTACCTCTTTGCCCCACTCAGTCTTATCCTCGTATCCACAGCTGATGACATGGATTGCTTCTTTCAAAAGAGATCCGGGATTTGTGGATGGTGGAATGCCTCCCATTTCCATGAAAGTGGCAGCAATGAACACTGGAGACTGTCCAAAGCGCTTTTCCAAGCTCTTTTGCGACATAAGTAGTGACTTTTCATCATCATATCCTTGAGAAAGACGAACAAGGCGATTGATGTGAGTCACCATAATATCAAATATCTTAGCTGAGGATTAAGTAGGCTAATAGACAGTTTTTTATTATTTATTTATATTTTAATTTTTCATTTGTGAAAAGTGTACCTTCTACACCCTCTTCCATGTCCTCCATGTTAAAGATAGGAATGGTCGACTCGGTTCTTTTCACTGCTCGCTTCTTATCAACATACTTCTTATTACCATGTCTCCCCTTCTTCCTCGGACCACAGCAACTTTTGACAATAATGTTTGGCTGCAAATCTTCTTCTGTCAGGACAGGATCGTAACCATACAGGGCTTGCCTATTAAAGCAACACCCAGTTCCCACATAAACTGGGCCCTGAAGGCCATCTAACCCTTTCAAATTCATCTGGAGGGAGTAATATTCAGCATTAGTAATTTACAACCACATAAAAAAGTATACTTTTACCTATTATTTGGGGTTAATTCAAAAACTACCTGGTCTAATCAAAAGAACAGTTATTTTCTAGAATTACAAATATAAAAGCCAGTAATCTTTTAGAAAATAAGTGGAGATTTTCATAAAAAGGCTAAATGTTAGGGTAGTTCATTGAAATAGCTATATTTTAGAGGTGTAAACCATAGAGGCGCCTACATCAAAGAAGACAATATTGCGGTTAGCGTATCTATCATGTAAATCGATGCCATCAAATCGCTGTGGGAACTGCACGTAGCAAGTCTTTTTCCCAAGAACAGGATCCATCATAAAGCACATGGCTTCTTTAAGAGCTTTGCTGTTGTTGAAGTAGTGGTCACAATCGACATTCAAAAGATATGCTCCATTGGTGAGGACAGCGGAGACTCGAATCTGAAGCACAAAAGGGAGTACATTACATGATAAAAAAAATCATCGATGTCTATATAGAAAATGATAAAATACTGGTGAAATATGCGGTGAATCTCGAAATGCTATGTTCAAGCCCTTTGTATGATTTAAGGCCCGACTCACACTTTGAAATGCTTTACATGAAGATTTAGCTTACCTAATAGAGTAAAACAATTTAGCTTATATTTCAATGGTCGTCATTAACCTCTGAAGAAGAAAAATTCTAGTTGATAATGATAAAGCATATAATAACAGAATTACAACTTTCCTCATTTGTTGCAAGTTAATATACCATTTTTTTTTTTTATTTTTGCTATTAATTATGTTCGCGTAGAAATTAAAGATGGTCATAGCCATTGGATCATCAATTTCGTACCAAAGCATTCATAGCACCCGCTTTCTTGTGATGTTGGAATCCAGGACGCTTTTCACGAGAAACATAAACCAGTCGGGGTAACTCATTTCCATCAGTGTCAAGGCCACCACTGTGCCCCAGAAAGACCTGTTTATAGTGAGGCATATTAAAGAATTGGGAAAGGAATTAAGAGAGAGATTATTATGAATTCTAAAACACCTACCTGAATCATTCCTGGATGGTCCCGAGTATTATTTCCAGGCCAAGGAGTACCATCTTGCATCGTCCATCCTTCTTCAGGCATTTTTTGAGCCTTCGCAACAAGAGCATTGATTCTTACCTTAAATTCTTCATATTCTCTCTGCAGAAGGGGGTTGGGGAGAAGTTAGGAAACAAAGTTACACAATAAGTTTCTTTTGTGTCCTTCTCTAACTAGAAATAAATTTGGAAACAAAATAAACAAAAATATAACTGGAGTCTTCTTCTGTTAATAAGAAGCTCATGGGGCTCTGGAAACATAAGGATAATCATACTTTCCCGTATGAAAAATGAAAACTAACACTGTGAAATTAAAGATTAACACCAATAATTTGGCATGCAACCTTCATCGCTCTTCGCTCTTTCACAAAGGAAGGCTGAATCTTGTCCTTCAGGTAATCTATTTTCTGAGCAAAATAGAACTCAGGGGCCCTCGGCTCAATATTGTGCTTCTTGCAAAAGGGAACCCACTTCCTGGCAAATTCTGCAGTTTCAGACATGGCCTCAAAGGTCAGCATTGCCGAACCATCATCCGATACATAACAAGAGACTTTGTCCACAGGGTAATCCACAGAAAGAATGGACAACACAGTGTTTGCGGTGACAAGAGGAGGCTCCTTCATGGGGTCCACTGTACTCACAAACACATCGACCGGTGCTAACTGAGATGGCTCACCCTCTCTATCATATCTATAACATATAAGAGATAGAAGTTAGTTCAGAAACAAAAAATGACTCGCAAAGGTTATGGGGTCATATGAATTGTCCAAGTTTCAATAGTAGATGGTCACTTCTAAAACCATGAGCTTGTAGCTCAAGTGGCACCCTTTCATCCACCCTTTATAAGGGTGTTGCCTGCACTAATTGATACAGAGTTCAAGCCCTGTACCTTGCAGTTTCATTTAGACTCTCCTACCACCAGTCTCCTATGATGTATTAAAAACTACATTGCTTCTAAATGCAGAAGCTTTTGCAGACACCTTTTTTCATTAACTCCAGGAGATGAATAAAATCCACTGACCTCAATGCGAGTCTTTCAAGATACGTCTCGCGGTTAACAGGGTACCATCTGGGAAACTGGTCGAGAAGCCACGACAAAGCAAACCAAATCTCACAAATAACAGATGTAAGCCACAGAGGGTAAGCATCTTTCACGGGATGAGTGCAGCGGTATTGCAAGAAAAATCCCAAGATGATCAAACGAAGAATGATCACGACACGATAAGGGGTAAGATGGGAAGAAGAAATGGGCACAACACGACTCATAGGTTGACGAGCATCATCAGCCCTGTCAAATACAAACTGTTAGCATTATTCACAAGCCGTGAAAGAAACGACATGATACAAATGGTATACATATTTATATTTACATATTTGAGCAAAAAAAGAGATTACATTTGTAATTCTTCTCCATTTGACCCGGTGCCTTCAATGTCCCCTCCTTTCCCTTCACTGTATCTGTTGGACATCTGCACAGTATTTTTCTCTTGTTTCAGTTTCCAACCTTCAACCCTCTCTTTCCAGTCGACATTCCCAAGTCCATAAGCATTCAAATCTTTGGAAGGGTCAACAATTCTAACAGGAACTGCAGAAATTAATTACGCAATCAGCTGTTTTCATACAAAGAGGATAAACGACATGTTAGCTGATGAAATTCATTATACTCATAAGCATCTACCAGGCTGCCGAGGATCAACATAAGGAAGTGAATGAACACGGTCACCAGGGCCCAATGGCCCTGATGTACTACGGACAGAATGAGTGTCCGGTATAGAAGGAGGCATCTCACAAGAAACCTATTAATTATGGGCAAGAATAGAAATATATGTAAGTTAACATATGGGATATCATAAGTGCATCTTTGGAATACCTTGTGATAATTTTGTGAATAAATAGAATTGGATTTGCTGACTTACTGGTTGCCCATTGGTAAGAAGAGGGATGGGCTGTTGTGAATCATGTCTAGAAGATGCAGAAAGCTCAATATCATCCCCATGCCATTGAGATCGAGACTTGCTTTTTCCCTGAGAATAACTAAACTCGTTCTCCAGGTCATCAATATCATCCTCATCATCATCACCGTCCACTCTTGGACTCCCTAAAAGATGCAGGAACAGTAAGCTACAATTACCTCCTAAGGGGGTTGTGGTTTGTAATTACTTCAAACTATCCTCTACTGAGGGGTGTGTAGCTTGTAAAAAGGATCAAGGTTAGAAATTTTCCTTTCAAAATAGTTGACATTTTTGTAGATACATTCAACGTCAAATGCTCGATCATAGTATCTCTATCCTCATATTTATGAGAAAAATCTAGTGAAAATAAAGTCAAGATGACTAACCTTTGTGTCTCTTGTACCTAGTTTTACACTGGGGGCATGACTGACTTCCATCTTTGCGCTCGTATTCATAACAAGAACGGCAAACTGGAAAGGCGCATTCATTGCAAGCAACAAATATGTCACCCATCGAAGTCTCTCCAACAGTATCTCCACATATCTGGCATATTTTCCCATTCAAATTCTTCAGGGGCTTTGGCTGCATCATGTAGAATATGAATCAAACCAACTGACAGAAAAATTCAACAAAACTAAATAAAAAAATCAACAGATCTTTCAGTTAACCAGCAGCAAATTAGCCAACAGAGTATGTTCTCTTGCCTAGTCATGCGGAAATAGATTGAATGAAAATTATCCAAATTTGGTCAAAGAACTAATATAACAAATATTCACCATGTCGGATTTTCAGTATGATCTCAATCTCATCTAATTCAGTCAGTGTTTTTTTTTTTTCGAATCAATAAGCAAATCTGACATCAAATCCAGCTGATGATTTACACTTTCAGCTGATCAACTCCTCAAAACTGAAAACCAAATTAACAAATAAATATTAAACAACTCGATCAATGAACACATTAACCACACCATTTCATGCAAACAACAAAATTCTGCAAACAAACTTCGATAAGACTAACTGAGACCGCCCAATTTCCACATTGTATCATCAAGATTCAAGATCCAAACTTTATGAGTCAAAATCACTTCACGCTATCAGCAATCAGATCCAACCCAAAAAATAACAATGAGAAGAAAAAAAAAAAAAAAAAAAAAAAAAAAAAAAAAAAAAAAAAAAAAAAAAAAAAAAAGAGGAAATTTAAGAACTTGAACCGAAATGCACAATTACAAGAATAGAGAAAAAAGGCATACCCCACTATCAGAGTCATGGCGAATCCTAACAAGCTCGTTTCTTTTGTGGGATCCAGCTACCATCCCTCCAGTTGCCTCCATTTTGCTCGGTATCACGAGTAGGATAACAGATCCTTGTTGATTATATGACCACAAGTTAGATACACTCTATAATAAGTGAAATGTGAGAGTAGGGAAGCATATATCGATTCTTGGCATCAATCAATCGGCCATCTCTCAGAAAGAAGAAATGTGTAGTGTGGATTCCTTGTTAGTTAGCACACTGTGAAGAGGACAGTAATAAGATGTAGGTTGTGTGCTGTGTTGTTTCAACCAGGATAATTGTACCTGTCGGTGACACAACACTTGCCTGAACCGAGATTCCACCAAATTACTCTCGTGCCCCTCATCACTGTCGTGACTTTTTTTTTTTTTTTTTCCCTTTCGACGGTACCCGTATTATATTAATTGTTAGGTGACTAATCAATTTTATGAAATGTCACCTTTATCCTGTTAATTGTTAAGAGTGACAAATCAATGTGTGCATGTATTAATATCTGTCTCCCGTGAGTAGGGAGCATTATTGATATTATATAATTGTTAGCAAAATAATTAATAAAACTCTTTTTGTTTTTCTACTACTTTGCATTAATCACAACTGGTACGCTACCTGCTTGTTGCGCGGCCTGATGTTAAAAAAAGATATTATTAAATTACAATTTAAATAAACAAAAAAAAAAATCATACATGTGTAGAGATCATAAAAAATATGCTTGAAAATTTATTCATCATATTTTAAAATGTTTATCTAAATAGAAAGCGGCCTGATGTTAAAAAATGATATTATTAAATTACAATTTAAATAAACAAAAAAAAAATCATACATGTGTAGAGATCATAAAAAGCATGCTCGAAAATCTATTCATCATATTTAAAAATGTTTATCTAAATAGAACATTATTAGTGAATGGAATATATTTATTATTACCATTATCATCATATATAATAATCCTCATACACCATGTATCTGTGACTACGGAAAAAAAATAACATATATTGGAATCTATGACTACAGAAAAAATAACATATAACTGATTCTGACAACATTTGTAATCTTCAATGAATGTAGTATTTGTCACATTAATGATACTCCTTTGAAACTTTTTCCTAAAAATGTCTTGATGATAACATAATCTTCTTCTTTTGTGAATAACTAAAGTTGTTGTTGTATAGATAAACTGATATAGAATAACTTAAATAGACATGTACAAATATGAGCCAGTTAAAATAAAAAATAAAAAGTAAATACTTCAGGAAAAAAAATAACTCAATTTTGAATCGCATGCATTTAGTTTCAAATTAGGTGCACATACCTTTCACTTTTTTTTAATTGGGATAATAAATTTTAATTTAATTTATTTGCAAAATAAGTCCGATGGTTATCAAAATTACGTGCAAGATGAATCACCTATTGCAAAGTTATAAATATGCACAATAATCGCAAATGTTCATGTGAATAATAAATTACTTATTTTTGCACGTAATTCAAGCATAATGTAAATTTTATTTTGATAAAAAAAAAAAAAATGCTTTTGTGATATATATATGATAAAAAAAGTAGTTGATGCATTATAGTAGTTTGCAAAGATCCAGTAGCAATAATATATTCATATCATCATCTTAAGAAAAAAAAACATGTGTATAATAATAAAAAAAATCACAATAATTACACATTATGTTATTTTTATTCGCAAAAAATTATAGTTGCATAATTGTGGATCAATAAAGAGATTAAAATGTAGGCAATCACTTTAATCACAAATTTTTATATGAACTCAAATTTAAGTCTATATGAAACAAATGATGTCAACTAAAAATAAAATATTTAAACAAACTATGTATTTAAAGCTCATACTATTCAATCATTTGGGACCAGAACCACTATAAAAGGCGTCATATATAACAAACATTTCATTAAATAATTGAATGATAAATATATATTGTCATATTCCTTTTTACAGTCCAAATCATATTGTCAGTCTTTCTCTCCTTTATAGTTGAGACATCCTCACTTTTTCTGTTATCACTTTCTTTCTTTCACAATATCATTCAACAATATTAATTTATTTCTTCCCCGTAAATGAAATCAAATTATGAAGTCATGTTCAAACATTAAATCATCTACTTTTACTTTGTATAAAAAATGTGACAATAAATATCCATCTAAAAGTAGAAAAATAAAAGTATAAATGTCCATATATCAAATTTGTTTTTTAGTATATACTTTCAAATGTTTATTTTTTCTCTATATTTTTAAATCATATTATTAATCAAGATGATTACCATCAATGTTTAGATCACTAACCAACACTTACTTGCACTAAATTTATGAGAATCGTAATTTTACTTATTTTAGTAGAAATACACATTGATAAATTTTTACACTAGTGGTCTTGACTTTCTATCGCCATATAGGGGTGTGAGATATCACTTAGATGAATGGGGCACAAGGTCCAGTACTCCACAAAACTTCAGAGAACTCTACAACATTCGGCATGCCAAAGCTAGAAACGCGATTGAACATGCTTTTGGCATTCTAAAAATGCGTTTGGCAATTCTTAGGAGTAACTCTTTTTACCCCATTAGGACCCAAAATCGCATTATCATGGCGTGCGCGCTTATTCACAATTTTATACGTACAACAATGCCCGAAGACCCCATCGAGAATGAGATTCCAGAATTCTCAATACCTTCCAACCCAACATCTGACGACGACTACATAGATCAAGTTGAATTCAGCCACGAATGGACACAGAAGCGCGATCTCTTAGCCCAACAAATGTTCATTGAATGGCAGGGCGGTGTTCCCTAATAGGTAAACAAACTTATTTTTGTGTTCATTCAATAAGACTCTGTTAGTTGCTAAGTAATGGTGACAAATGTTCTTAATTTATCTTTTATTGTTTATTATACAATTTTAATGTTATTGAATATGTTGTTATGGTGATTATTGACATTAAATATTGTTGTGTTTTGTGTATTTCCTATATATTTCTTGTGTATTATATCATTTTCTTTGACGTCATTTTTTATATACCTTAATTTGGAAATTCTCTATTTCTCCAAAATAAAAAATAATAACAAATATTGCTACAACATTATTGTACCTATAGCAAAATTGTCATGGAAGCATCATCAATTACATCGGGTACCGAAAAATATGGTGGCTCCACCTCTAAACGCCGTGTGTGGACATCAGCAGAAGAGAATGCCCTAATCAATGCTCTAAAAGATATTGTCACCGAGGGTTAGAAAACGGAAAATGACTTCAGAACGGGCTATGCATTTCAGTTGGAAAAAAAGATGAAGACATATCTTTCAGGATGTGAAATTCGTACTGACCTGCACATAACTTCCAAAATGCATGTTTGGAAGAAAACTTGTGCGAGTTTGGCCAATATAAAATCAAATAAATCAGGTTCGGGTTGGAATGATATTACAAAAAGCTTCACCTGTGATGATGAGAAGTACCAATCTTTGATGAAGGTTTGCTTATAATTCCAACTCTTGAGTCGTGTATATATTTCATATAGTTTACATATTTTCCTAACATTTTTTTCCTCCCCAACACATGACCCATAGGTTGATCCTAATGCAAAGGGACTACGGAACAAGCCTTTCCCCCACTTTGATGATTGGGAGGTCATCTTCGGGAAAGACAGAGCCTGTGGTAGTGATGCCCAGGCTTTCGCAGACGCGGCTGGGGATGTCCAGCAGGACCCGCCATAAGAAGAGTACTATGAGATCCCATCGCAGACCACGCAGCCCACACGTGGCCCGGTCAATGATGTCGGTCAGTCGTCGGGAACGGCGTTTGAAAGTAACTCCAAGGGAGGGGGAAGGATGAGAGGAAAAAAAATAAGGTCCTCTAACTTGATTGACGACCGTTTCATCGATGTCATGGAAACATTCTCGCTGAACACGGATGGCCGGTTGGCTAAAATTGCTGCCAGAATGGGCAACAAGCAAGCGACACGGGCTCATATGACAGAAGTAATAGATGCGCTTTGTACTTTCGACTTTCTATCTCGTGAGGAGCGAATGGTTATATGCATGCGTTTGTGCAACAATGCGAGGGAGCTTGCTATGTTTTTTTACCATGGGGCAGGACGATAGGGCACTCATGGTGAGGGTCATCCGAGATGGTCAGGGGTAGTGCTGATCGGTCAAAATTATTGTGTATTGTTATGTTGTCCTTTTATGGCTTGTGAACTTTTATGAACTGCTATGGGTGGCTTTGTGGTTTTTGTTGTTTTTGAGACATGTACTCTCTATTGGGGCTTGTAACTTATTTTGTGGTTTTTGGAACATGTATGAATTGCTATTTTGTTTATTATAATGATGACCATGTAATGGTTAACTGGTTTTGCATTGCACGTTGAATGTTATATCGTTCGTTGATTGGGACTGAGGAACTTGTTATTCTTTTTGAATTGTTGGGATTTTTGAATGGGTTTGTGGTTTTTGGGACATGTATGAACTGTTAGGACTTGTGAACGGTATGAACTGTTATTTTCTTTATTTGAATGGTGACGATGTATTCCATTGTAATGGTGTACTTGTTTTGCATTGCACGTTGAATGAAATTTGTTATTGTTCTTCTTCAACTTATTTATTCTTTATGTTATATCCCTTGTTGCAGGTTCACTATGGCTATGTACAACGAAAGCCCGCCATGGGGGTGTTTCTACGTATATATGGACATGCCAGACTACCCCACCATGGTAAGTTAAACTTCATAACCTGAAAAAAACTAATGACAATTTTGTTATGCGAAAGAAAAAACTTTAAAAGCTGGAAAAAACAGAGGGAAAAAAAACGTGGGAAAAACTAAAAGAAAAAACTTCAAATATGTGTGTTCCAAAATTGCATTGGTATTGACTTTACAACAACAAAAAATTAAAAATAATATTAAATAAGATAACATTTTATTAATTATGCAACAACAATGTTGACGAAAAGTATAATTGTAAAACATGAAAGCAATCACTTACCAAAAGAGCACGCTCAACGTGATTTTTTTTTTTTTTTGATGCTAAATC